TTCCAGCCAAACAAAATACAGGCATATGAGTTGAACGTTTACCTCATGTAGATACACTCCTTGGAGAGAACAATCATGGGAGAAAGAAGGGCTGTTTATGCACAGGGAGACAGCTCAGGGGGCAAGAGGGCATGCAGGTAATGGACATAGGGAAGAGGTAACTATGGGGAGAAAGTGGGAGGGGAGCTGTTGCATTGTGGTAAACTGTGGTCAATGCCATGAGACAAAGTATATGTGAACTGCTGTATGGAAAGTGAATTTGCTCTGTAAATCTTCACCCAAATCACAATAAAATAAAATAAAATAAGGAGTCAAAGATGATGCTAGGTGTTTGGCTTGAACAGGTGGCATAGTAGAGTTGCTATTATCTAGTAAGCCCGGGGAAAGAGCAGAATTTTGGGGTAGGGAGATGTGGTGCTGTAAATTACTTACTATGTCGCTTCTAACCATTGTCTTTGCTAATCACAATGTTGGTGCTTCAAACCCACCAGCTGCTCTGCGAAAGGAAGATGAAGCAATCTACTTTCATAAAGATTTACCACCTTGGAAACCCAATGGGGGTCACTATGAGTCGGGATCAACTCAACAGCAGTGGGTTTGGTTTTTTTGCCTGGAATGACTTGGTGGACTATGCAAATGAGATGCTTATACCCCACCAAGGGGATTGGATAGCTTACTAACAATGTAAATAAGATATATGGCCCTTGTGGGATGGGACCATGTAAATAAGGAGTAAGGAACCCTAATGAGGGGATTGATCAGCTTTGCCATCCTTCTAGGCTTAAAAGGGTAGCTCTGGTGTCATAGTGCGTAAGGCATTTGGCTGCTAACCAGAAGGCTGGCTGTTCAAACCCACCAGCCACTCCTCAGAAGAAGACTGGGCAATCTACTTCCATAGAGATACCACCTCAGAAACCCAAGGAGGGGTCACTATGAGTCAGGATCAACTCAACAGCAGTGAGTTTGGTTTGGTTTGAGGCTTAAAAGAGAGTCAATTCCAAAGCAGAGTGGGGACTTTATGACCACTAAGAAAGAAGAACCAGCAATAGAGCACTTCCTTTGAACCCAGAGTCCCTGTGCTGGGAACCTCCTTGACCCAGGATACAGAGAGTTCCCACACCACAAATATGAGAAGCAGTGGCAGAGAAATGGCAACAGCAGAACTAGGAGACTGGCAGGAGACAGCGTTCTAGGTTCCCCTGCCCACAGAGTGAGAAAGCTGACCATCTTTGGACAGAAAGCTTGCTGGCAGAGTAAAGCACCTCTGGGCATATGGTGGAGCTAGGTTTGCCAACCCACAGAGCTAGAACTGAGTGCCTTCAGGCCAAGACTTACTGGCAGAACAGGGTTGGCTCCCAGCATTTATTGGCAGAACTAAAAGAGCTTTGATAATTGCCGAGCAGGGATGAGGCCAGGCCAAGGGCCAGAAACTTGCCTGTGCAAGGCTTAGAAGGGGCTGTCCTGATCACAGAACTGTACCCTGAACATTCCTCAGCCTAAATTGTAATCTGTTATTTCCCTAATAAACCTCATTAACTTTTGAGTATGGTCTGCCAATTCTATGTGGCTGTTGCAACAAATTATCAAACTTAGCAGAGAAGTAGAGTGTGGTGGTGGGATAGTTGGTGTCAGAATCGGTAAAAAGGTTAGAGTGTGAAGGCATGTCTAACCTCCACCTCATAGGAATCAGCCTTGGGCTGATTCCTTGATTCTCCTTTCCCCTTGCGAAGTTGTGAGCTCTGGTAGTGTAGTGCCTAAGGCTGGTAGTTCAAACCTACCCACCAGCCACTCCTTGGAAGGAAGGTTGGGCAATCTACTTGATAATGCCTCAGAAACTGAAGGAGGAGTAGCTATAAGTCCTACTCCACAGAACATAACAACAACAACCACCTTGTGAAGTTAGAGGAGGTCAGATTCCTCCCCCACCACATCATTTTTACAGTAGACTAGGAACTTAATTTTGGATATGTTAAGTTTGATAGGCACTCCTGGGTTAAGTTGTTGTGCTTCTTATTTGCCGTCGACTCATAGTGACCCCTCCTTGGGTTTCCGAGGCAGCATCACTACAGAAGTAGATTGCCCAACCTTCCTTCCAAGGAGTGGCTGGTGGGTTTGAACTGCCAGCCTTCTGGTTTGCAGTCAAGTGCCTTAGGCACTATGGTATCAGAAGTATTTGGCTACTAATCAAAAGTTTGGCAGTTCAAACCCACCCAAATGTGTCTTTGAAAAGGCCTGGCAATCCACTTCTGAAAGATCAGTCACTGAAAATTCAATGAAGCATATACTTCCACCCTGACACACATGGGGTCACCATGAGTTGGAACTGACTCAAAGGCAAGCGGTTTTGATTTTTTAAGTTTGAGAAATCTACTAGACAAAAAGAGCTTTCGAATGGAAAGACAGACATAAAAAGTCTGGCATACAGGAAAGAAATCTGAGCTGGAGACATAAATTTGAGTAATCAGGATATTGATGGTATTTAAAGCTATAATGTTAAATAAGAGTATAAAGGCATGGTTTACAGATGAAACTCCAACTCTGAATGGGCTACTTGGAAACAATGTCCAAAGTTTAAAGGTCAAGGAGCCAAGAAGGAATCAAAAAAGGAGACTGAGCAATCAGTGTGGGAGATAGAAAACTCAAGAGAGAATGATTTTTTAGAAGCCAGGTGAAGAAAGTGTTTCAAAAGAGGGTGGAATGATGAACTGAGTCAGATGCCACTGATAGGTCAAGTAACATAAGAACTATGAACAGACCAGGAGATTTGACAATGTGGAAATGACTACTGGCTTTCATCAGATTAGTTTTACGAGACTGTTAAGGACAAAAATCTGGGTGGTACAGGTTCAAAATCAAGTAGAGAAGGAAAAACTAATGATGCATGTCTTAGTTTTCTAGTGCTGCCATAACAGAAATACTACAAGTATGTGGCTTTAAAGAACAGAAATTTATTTTCTCACAATTTTGGAAGCTAAAAGTCCAAACAGGATTGCATCCATAGATATAGGAGTTAGGATTCCAACACACATGTTGGGGCGGGCACAGACAAAATCCAATCCATAACAATGCAGATGAGAAAGATCATTACTGGATCAATGTCCTGGAGTAGATCAGAAGGCATGGGTTCTAGAGAATAGGCTGATCTTTGCTAGTAAACAGTTCATCCAAAGTAATAGAGTGAATGTAGACGATATGGGCAAATGTAGGGAGAAGGGGGCAAATGTGGTGGTGGAAGTTCTTATCTGACCACATGTCATTTTCTCGGTGAGAAGAAAAGCAAAGTTGACACTTAAGAGTGAGGATGTGAGATGGTGCCAAAGTTTAAAGAAAGGTAAGTATGAAAGATTTGTTTTCTTTTCTCCCCATGCTGCTGGGAGGCATGAGATCCCAGGATAGAGCACCACATAACCCAGGTTTTGGGGAAAATGGTTTCGCAAACTTTAAAGACCTAGCTCTGTACTTCCTAGAGAAGTAAACCACTCTCAAACTGAGTCTCAGCTTCTGCAACTGCAATGCTTATACAATGGGTCTGCACGACAATCTTAGAGGAATGTTCTAATGAGAAACCAGGCACTAAGTGATATAGTACCAGCCCATATTTGGGCCAAGCCTTGCTGAAAGCACTTTATAAAAATTTTTTTCTTTGCTTTGCAAGACACCTTCAGGAGAGAGTGAGTGCTATTTTTACTCTATTTTGTAAATGAGCACACTGAGGCACAGGGTCATACAAGGTGACCAAGGTCACACAAGTAGTAAGTGTTGAAGCCAGATTAATTACTTATGCTGCTGCCTCTTACATCTGCAAAGTACCTTGTAGTTTAAAAAGTATTTTCAGATACCATATATTTCATTGGGGCCTGTCATGGTCTGAACTGTATACCCAAATAATATGTCAAGTTGGCTGGCCCAGTGGTTTGGCAGTTATGTAATGATGCAGTCACCACCACCCCCCCGATATGATCTAATGTCATCAGTTGTAGGGGGTTTAGAGATGGATACAACACCCTTACTCAGGTGACAGCCCTGATCCGATGTAAGGGGAGTTTCCCTGGTGAATCGTCTGCATCATCTTTTAGCATACAAGATGTAAAAGGAGAGAGAAGGGAGCAGAGGAAGAAGGACCTGACTACCACAAGAAAGAACTGGGAGCTGAGCATGCCCTTTGAACTTGGGTGAGAACCTCCTAAACCCAAGGCAAGATTGAGATGCCAAGGCACATGGAGATCTCCAAAGGATGCTGGGCCCACAGATGTTGAAGAGACAAGGATCTTTCCCTACAGGTGACAGCTTTCCCTAGAGCTGATGCCGTGGATTCTGACTTCTAGCCTTCTAAACTGTGTGAGAATAAATGTGTTTGTTAAAGCAACACTAGATAACTAAGGCAGGCCTTTACAACATATCTGTGAGAAAGAAACATCATTAACTCCACTAAAGGTTGGAAGAATTAAGGTTCAAAGTCAGAGTCAAGGTCAAATCCAAGTCTTTCTAGTCTAAGAGGAGTGCTGGATTGTGTTACACCTGGAAGGGATGGAATAGGGTGGGAAAGGCACGTTGGAGCCAGACTTCTAAGAATCCTGAATGGCAAGTTCAAGTTCTGGGTCTCAACTGTGGAAGTCCAGGAGCCACACTGCAAGCTGACAGAAATGGCATGGTCTGAGCTGTGTTTAGGAATAAGAGGAAGCCTCACAGAGCCAGAAGAGCTGTGGTAAAGATTGCTTAGTATCACTTTGTCTAGGATTGTCTTTATTGACCTAAGAGGAATTAGCTGGGGGGAGGGAAAAGAATAGCTAAGACACTTGTCAAGACCATAGATTCCCAGGGCTCCCTTCCTCGGAATGAATCTGGAAAAGCTCTAATGAAACTCGGAAATCTGGAGTTTTAAAACTCCCAGCACCAAGGAGATTCTAGTCCGCCACGTTTGGGGGTTCTGACAAAGCTCGACCCCAGTCTTGTCTGCTAAGAACGAACAGCGGGAGCCAGAGAGCAAGGGTCGGCGTTACCTTCTCGATTGTGCCTAGGAAGAGCTCCTTCGCGAAAGTTCGGCTCAGCGGGCTGGTGCGCAACGGGCGCTGGCTGGCCGTGACCGCCGCCCGAAGCCGGCAGGCACGCGCCGCCGCTGCCGCACGCAGGAAAAGTCTACAACCACCCATGCTGCCTGAAGTCGCTCAGGTCGCTGCCGCCAACCTCTCCTCACCGTTTCATTCTAAATTACACCCGATTGGAGCTGCCTGATGACGCCACACACCTGCGCGGCCCTGCCGACCGCCAGTGCGCATGCGCTGCTTCTGGCCGCGGAGGAGGAGGAGGCCGGAGAGGGCGGGGCCGCCTCTAAGGGCAGCAAAGAGCTCTGATTGGTAGTGGCCCGGGAAAGATTTTTGTCTTCAAATGCTAGCTAGCGGCCATTTATGAAAGGGGCAGTCAAGAAATATGATGTCTTATTGCACTGGGCAAATCTGCTATAAAAGTGTTGAGCAAAGATGTCGTTTTGAAGGCTAATGTATGCCTAACCCAAGCCCTGGTATTTTCAATCTCCTCATGTGCATGTGAAAACTGGACAATGCATAAGGAAGACCGCAAAAGAATTGATGCCTTTGAATTGTGATTTTGGCGGAGAATACTGAAAATACCATGAACTGCCAGAAGAACTGAACAAATATGCCCTGGAAGAAATGCAGCCAGAATGCTCCTTAGAACCGAGAATGGCGAGACTACGTCTCACCTATTTTGGTCATTTTGTCAGAAGGAACCATTCCGTGGTCATGCTTGGTAAAGTAGAGGAGCAGAGAAAAAGGGGAAGCCCCTCAACGAGATGGACCAGTGGCTGTGACCACGGGCTGAAGCATAGTGGGGGTTGTGAGAATGGGGCAGGACCTAGCAGTGTCTCGTTCTGTTGTACAAAGTGTCGCTGTGAGTCGAGAGTTTTCTCCAAGGCACCTAACAGCAGCGGTTATTTGCACAATCCCCAGCCCTGGGAGTCTTCCGAGGTACATGGAACTTCAGGAGTAGCTCAACTGCTTCCCTGAGAGGTGGTGAGGAGAACAAGATAAAGCAAGGGAATGGGGAAAAGTTATTAAATTGATTATTTCTGGTGGGGTGCTCACAGTGAGACAGTGGCTAAACCACTCTGTTTTCTTAATGGCCTGATCATGAGCTGCCCTCCCCCTGTGAGTCAGAGTATCCACTTCTGATTACCGTCAGTCCAGTAGCCAATTCAGGCTAATCTGTGTGACCTGGAGTTAACTTTAGCTCATTAGGAGCCTCGTACATATTAACTTGTCGACCTTTGGATGGAGTTTGGCTGCCAATTTTCTGATCATGTATCTATGTGTGTTGTGATCAGTAGTAACTGCGCCTATGTAGCATGTTTGAGAATGAGATGATGTCATTGTATGATTTCCTGTTTATAAACCCTCTAAAAAGGCTTCTCTCAACCCTATCCCCAAGCAGTCTTGGCATCCTTTTCTTGCCCAACAAAATAAAGCTGTCTTTTTCACTCCACTACATGGTTCTGGTCTTTTTGGCTTTGGACAGAGTTATGCAGAGCAAAGCCCAGAGTTCCAGGTAACATTGTCTGGCAAGCCAGCCAGGAGTCATCACTGGGTGTGGGAGGTGGACCAGACAAAGGATCCTGCAGAGAGTCCAGTGCACAACAGGCTTTCTCCAGACTACTCACAGATCCTCAAGACTGGTACTGCGTTGGTGCCAACTGTGGTTCCCCTAGAGGAGGAGAGACAAAGCTATCAGGTTCCCCACAAGGACACTGCTCCTCAGTAAATAACAGCCATAAAAGTCCTTAGGAGAGCCTGTTTTACCGTATGGTTTCTGTTCTGTTGGCAGTTGCTTCAAGACAGCCCAGGGATTTTTCCCTGGACTGGCCAATATCTGATCCAGTATTATCACACCAAAGGTGTGTGTGTGTGTGAGTGATTGGGGTGAAAGTTTACAGAGCAAAATCATTTTCCACAACAGTTCATACACATTTTGTTTCATGACATTGATTGCAATTCTATAATGTAACAGCTTTCTTCCCACTTGTAATTACCTTTTCCTTGTATCTTTCTTTCTTATGCATTCCTGTCCTCTGAGCTACCTCCCTGTGCAGATACTGCCCTTCTGATCTCTCATGGTTGATTGTTCTAAGAGTATCTACCTGGTATATATGTTCACCTTATATACCTGTCTATTGTTTGGCTCAAAGCCATGGGAGTGGGTTCAATTCCAGGCCTGAAGGGTGAGTAGGGACCGTTGTCTCAGGAGTTTCACCAGTTTCTATCAGACCAGTAAGCCTGATCTTTTTTATGATTTTGAATTTTGTTCCACATTTTTCTCCCACTCTATCCAGGATCTCCTGCGCTGATCCCTTTCCGAGTGGTTGACAGTGGTGGTTGGGCACCATCTAGTTCTTCTGGTCTCATGGTCACGGAGGCTGAGGTTTGCATGGTCCACTGTCCCTTGGACTAATTGTTTCCATGCATCTTTGGTTTTCTTCATTTGCTCCGGATGAGGAGAGACCTATTGTTGCATCTTAGATGGCTGCTGGCAAGCCCCCAGTCACTACTCACCAAAGTACAATGTACAACTATGTTTTTTACAATTATCATAACTTTGCCCCATTAGCTCTATTATGCATGGAAATTCTTACAGCACATATAAATACATATGTAGAAATATTATCTGCCCAATTTCTATGTTGTTGTTGTTGTTATGTGCCGTCGAGTCATACCTGACTCATAGCGACCCCTCCTTGGGTTTCCGAGGCAGTATCACTACAGAAGTAGGATTGCCCAACCTTCCTTCCGAGGAGTGGCTGGTGGATTTGAACCTCCAGCCGTCTGGTTAGCAGGCAAGTGTCTTAGCCACTATGCTACCAGAGCTCCCTATAGGGTTATGGATATGTTCCCTTTGCCTGAACATACCTGATTCAGCTTGTGTCCACCCATAGCTTATTTTTTGTCATGACTGATCATGCAGTATTGTGTGTTTATCTTTGTTGTCTACACCTCTTGAGCATCTCTCTGTGTCTTCCTTTTCCTTAGTGTTATTGTGTTGCTCACTCACTTTTGGTATGTTGCCTTTCCCTTCAATACTTGTCTCTTACCTATCTAGCAATTTTCTCTCCCCTTCCCTCCTATCCCTGGTAACCAACGAAGAAATGTAAGCCTCTCTCTTGGCCCGCCATGCCAAAATAGCAGATCTCTCACCTGAAATTGATCTCACAGTGGCCCTCTAGATCTGGGCTGGTGAAAAGCCAGGATAAGCAAGGAACACAGCACCTATGAGTATTGAACTGCTACCAAGAATTACACTTCTGCATGTGCAGCAATACCCACTTTCTTATAGCCACTAGAGGGTATATAAACTGAGGGAACAGCCATCTTGACCAAGTTTTAACATTTTTTCTTTCCTTCTTTACATTCCCACATTCCTCCTCCTCTTTCCTTACAGATCTAAGTGTACCTATTCCCACATTCTCCCTTTCTTGTAAAGTTAATCTTTCCAGGCAGGGTCAAGGGGTTTGTAAAACAATTTCTCCTAACCAAGACCAGTTTTATATCACTAACCAGAGGAATAACAAAGGTCATGAGGTGAAGACGACTCATCCTGATAAGAAAAAGAAAGCACTATCAGCATTTCTCAAAACCCTTCCCCAATTCCCTTTAAAAACCTAACTTTTTCTCAGCCCGGGGAGACAGTCTGTAGCAGACACGGTCCCCCTGTATCGATACCCAATAAAATGTTCTTGCTTTTCACCTCATCCTGTTGTGAAGTAATTGGCCCTCCTCGTGCCAGGTAGCCAAGAACTGCACTTGGCCAGTTACAAATCTGGCATCCCTGGGTGGGCCCCCTAGGGCTAAGACACAGTGACCATTAAGGAGGCAGGGAGACTTCAGGTACCTGGAAGTGCAGCCACAGAGACATTGTTTGCCTTCCCAAGTGTTCTCTGCCTCTCACCCCTGGTAGCATCACTGGTCCAGTCCCACATTACAAGGAGAAGAAAAGCAAGACAGTAGGAGCCAGCATATGGGTGAGTCTGTGACCCTCTTCTTGGGCACCACCAGGCCAGGGCACACAGGATGGAATAAGGCTAACTCTTGATTTCTGTGCTTTGCTCCTCTCTAAGGAGGGCAGGAGCAGTGGATGACAGACCTTGAGTGCAGGGCACATTAGAGGACTCCTAGCTTTGGGTTTTGTGACTTCCAGAGGGCTTGGTGTATGAATGAAGTCCTGAGAATTTTTATCTGAAACTTAATAAGGCAGAACCAGGGAGAACAGATATCCCCGTTGCAAAAATGACAAGGAGGCCACATGTTCCGACCTCCTCTAATTCCACAAAGGGAAGACAGGGTTACCAGCAGTAACCCAAGGCCTATTACTGCCAGGCCAGACATGTTGCCTCCCTCCAGTCCTTTCTCCAA